TTACTGAGTGGTTTCTTTTATTTATAAGTAGCCTTTTTTTTTTAACACACAGTGTTTTATTAGTTTCAGGTATACAATATAGTGATTCAACAATTCCATGCATCACCCAGTGCTCATCACAAGTGCATTCCTCTAAGTAGTCTTTAAAATGCTTTTTAGAGTTTTGACATAGAGCAAATAAAATAATAGGAGAGAGAGGGCTCTTGAGGTCAAGTTCCTTGGATAAAAGATTAAAGAAAAAAGAATGGGAAGATATTGGAAACATTTATCAATCCTAGCTTTTCGAGTTCTTGCTGTGCTCTTGAATCATCAATATATCACTAGATAAGCTTCTGACATTTTACAAAATAGAAGTGAGACAAAGATAGTGAGCAACTGAAAATAACTCATTGTTAAAGTTTTAAAAATTGCTTTCCATACATGTTTTATGTTCCAATCAAAACAAGAATGATATTTACATTCTAAATCAGCTCTTCATCTTATCACCCTTGATTAGTCATATTATTTTAATCACATATGGGATATAACTAAATTAGTTAAATAAATACCCCCCTCTGCATTGTCTGTCTTACAAAAAACCTGTTCACTTTTTATAATCAGAACATGACTGTCAGTAAATTATACACTAATACAGAGTTAAATCCTACACATTTTGGCTGGGAGCAACCTAGGAAGAATTCTGGCATTTAGTGAAACCATTTGATCAAATGTCTTGTTCTGTGAATATATTTCTATTTATTTCAATAATAATGTGATTTAGAGAATAGTAAAAAGTACTTTCAAATCCTCCTCCTTCATTTCAAAACTATCACTGCTAACCATGAGCGCATTGTTAAATCCCACATTTCTTGAACAGGTATCATTTATTCAGTACATATTGGTGGAACACTTTTTTTGATGGTGTTGCTGTTGTTAAACATTTTCATTGTGTCAACTACTGTTCTGGACGTTGGAGAGATAGGAATGAAAAAAAAAAAAACACTAGAACCCAGATTTTGTGAAGCTGGCGCACCAGGAATAGGCCAAATTATAAACAAAAGGTAAAAGGGAAAATAAACAATATGTTAGATGGTAATTAGTAGTAGTAAAGCAATAGAACAGGAATGGGTAACAGAGAATATTGGTCGATTTTACAGTCTTAAAAAAGTAGTTAGCAAAAGCCCCCAAAGAAGAAGTGACAATTAAGCAGAACTAAAGAAGACACTGAATAACTTTATGTAGGAAATGATATTCTCTGACACGGTTTAGCAGGCTAGTCCTGGTGGCTACATAAGGAATATACTGAGGATGCTAAGAACAGAAGTAGAGGAAAGATTTAGTGCTAGCAGTAGAGGGTGAAAATATGTCAGTTTGGATATATTTGAAAATATCACTGAGAAGATGGATTGTATGTGCGGTGTGAGATTAAGATATGAGTTACGATGCCTCTAAGTGTTTGGCTTGAGGTATTTGAAGGATGTAGTTGCCACTTATTGACTTGGGAAACTCTGTGATAAAATTTGAGGGTAAGACCAAGTGCTCGGTTTTAGATACAGTAGGCTTGAGATGCCTAGTAAACATCAAGATAGATGGATAGGTAGTATATAAATAGATACATAGACACATAGGTAAGTAAATACCTAGATGTGTACATATTTAGACAAGTGGATTTGCAGCTCAGGAGAAAAGGAGAAGGTGTAGTTACATATTTATAAGTCATCAATAGATAATATTTAAAGCTATCAGACTCAATAAGGTGAATGAATAAAGATGGGGAGAAGTTCTGATAACTGAGTTAGTGACAGTCCACGCCCAGTTAAGTCAGATGATGAAGCAGCAGCGAAAGGAAAGGAAGAAGCAATGAACTGAGTTTTTAAAATACGCATCTATTGTTTTGAAACTCACATAAGAAAAGTGTTTTAAAGAGGGGGGCATGCTTATCAGTGGCAAATGTTGCTGATACACTAAAGTATTGACCTTTGGGTTCAGCAAGGAAATCCAACATTGCCTCACTGGTGATCTTGGCCAGTTCAAACTCTTGACAGTTTACAAAGGAAAATGCCTGAATGGAGTAGGTTTAGGATAGAATGAGAAGAGAGAAATGTGGATAGGGAATATGAAAAGGATGAAAGTTATTAGAGAAATGGGACAGAAGCTGAAGGTAGTGAGGGCAAGAGGTTTGGGTTTGTTTCTTTGTGGTGTGTGTGTGTGTGTGTGTAATACTAAATAAAAGAAAATAAATAAATAAATAAATAAATAAATAAATAATAAAAATACTAAATAAAAGGACATGATTCAGTATATCTTCTTTAACCCCAGGAATTCTATGAATGTTTCTGTTTCATGACTATCTTCAGTAGATATCTTGCCCATTTGAAATTTAAGTTATAGGATCTGGATGCAAACTAAATTTCTACTATTACTAAAATACGTACATTCCACTCACGGTATTTGAGTATTGATATATGACCAAAGCATTATGACAATCATGTCAATGGACAATTATCAAGAAATAAAATTTAAACTCTGTGCTGGTATTACAAAACTCATCACTTAATTTTCTCTTGAATATTTATGCACATTAATTTTATTACTCCAAATGATTATTAAAACTAAAAATATATACCTTGTCCCTGTTGTGTTCAAGGCACTATGCTAAGCAGGTTACACATACTATTCCTACTTTTCACTCTAAGCTTACAAAATAGATTTTATTAACCTATTTTCTAAATAAAGGTCCTGTTGATCAGCAATTCATTCACTTGCCTGAGCCTTGATAAATATGATTGATGCAGCTGGGATTTGGTCCAGATATACTTAGTTCCAAAGTACATGACCTTTAACTTTTACTGCTTCATAACACAATACTTACTAAAAGACAGGGACTAAGTCATAAGCAACACTTATTTAGTATACTGAGTAGAGCCAAGTACAATGAAAAACATTTCACATGACCTTACTGTCAATATAGCTGTTACTTTGTCTAAGAAAACCAGTATCTCAAACAGCAAACAAAATCAATCTTTCTCATGTTTACAAATTCGAACTTGTAGGAGTCATGGAGCAAAAAAATGTAAATTAATTCAGTTTTTTTTTCTTTTAAATGTCTTTCATTGTTGAGTTAATTAATCAAATGACAAAACTAAAATGAGGCAAAACAAAATCCATTTCTGACAAGTCAAACACCTCTATGTTGCAAGTTGTACATCATATGGTGTTCATTGTGCAATAAAGGCCATTGTGGAATCCAGAGTAATCCCCTAGTTGGCCTAGTGAGTTTTCCCAAAGGTTTCCCACTGGAAATCCAATTACCAGGACTCTTTTTTTTTTTCAACCAGGACTATTCAAATGTAAGCAAAATTTCTAAATCAAAATTCCTAAGCCAAATCCTTATCTCTAAAGAATGCTGGCTTTCTGCATGCTTAATTTTTTTTTTTTTTTTTTTTTTTTTTTGCAATTTAAGTAGTAACTGGAAATGTAAACCTCCATGTTTTACTTTCAAGGATAATCTCAATATAAAAAATTTGATGTAGGGGGAAAATAATTAGCAGCCCATTAGCAATTTCTCGTTACTTTAAGTTGTATCTCGCATCAAATCAGAAAGGGCACAAAAACCAGTCGCAGTCTAGAATCTTGGTGTATGGAAATCCTTGATCAGTTTAATATCCACTCCATTCAGTACCTTATTTCCTTTAATTTAACTGTATTTTTCTTATAAGTTTTGAATTTTTAAGAGTGAGATAATGCAAATGTAAGCAAATTCTGGATGATTTTTTTGTCTTATTCCTGTATGATATTTAAAAAATACAAAAACTTTATTAAGATATGAAATAGAAGTAAGTTATAACATGCATGAAATTAATAAGTTAAAATTCTATTATTAGTATTATATATTTCTCATTTATATATGACTAGTGGAAACAGAAAAAGAATGTGATTTAGAATTGCACAGAAATAGTTCTAAATCTCTTGCATTCCACTTATGACCTGTGTGAACTTGTAAGAGTTCTTTATCTTTTATTTCCATCTGTAAATAACAGTTAATATTACTCAACTAATAGGTTGGTACAGTGTTAGAATTATTATTATTAAGCAAGAAATTATGTATCATCTACAATTAGAAGCTGTAAACATTTTGTCTCTGTCCCTTTTATCTGGAAACATAGCTAGAGTATAGTTAAAGGAAATCAGCAGTTGAATTTTATTTTTAGAACAATAGCAAAACTTTTTTATAATGTCTTTATAGCAAAATAAGTGAAAATACATCATCTTTAAAATATCAATCTTTCTCAAAAAATTAAATTACTAGTGACTTTTCAAACTTAAAAACTGAAAATATTTGAAATACTGTATTCACATATGTATATCCACAATGTTTGTTTATTTTATTTATTTATTTAATTATTTATTTATGTGTTGATTTTCTAACCCAGCAAGTGCCTATCATGCCTGAGAGAAACGTCTGTGATGTGAAAATAAAAGTGTAATGTATTAAGCAAGACTTTTCTTTAGGAACTTAAATACTGTAACTTTGAAATAAGTAAAGTTTTTGTAAAAAGTGAAATGTTCCTTTTTCAGATAATTAACTCTAAATAACTTTTAAATGATTAGACTTTACCATATACGCTAAATAGCATTTACTTCAGTAAATTTAATGCCTTTTGCTTGCTATTTTCTAGGAACACTATAAAACTGTGATAATTTGAATAAGTAATGAAGTGCATGGAGAGAAAAACCTAGAGAAATTTTGTGATGTAGGCTTAAGAAGTTGAGCAAAGGAAATTTTGGACAATGGTGACTGTTAGCAAGAAAAACAGAACCTAATAATTATTAGCTACCATTTAAACTATGAAAGATGCAGTAAGTATCTTCCACTGAAATCATATACAATCTATGCTACCATTCATAAACCTAACATTAAAAGCAAGGAATATATTTTGATACAGACTTGTCAGCATTAAATCGAAAAGTAAAAATCTTTGGGACAGATAAGAAAAATTTAATGAGCAAATAGAACTTACCTTATCCACAATGCATATCTGCTTTCTGGTTTGAGCATCAAGTATTTCAATCTCAAAGTGCACAGTTTTTGAATGTTTAACTACTGGAATTGATTTCAGAGGGCCCGCTGAGAGCACAAGTTGAGACAAACACTGAAAGTTTCTCAGGTCATTCTTCAATAGGGACCGTGCAGCCCCTCGAGAAAATACTTCTCTCCTGCGATCCGAAGCCAGGGACTTATGCCTCCTGAACATGGTGTGAACTAGCAAGAGAATCTGTCATGTCAACAGAAGACACTTGCAAGAGCATTGCCTTTGCACCAGTTTAAATACTGCTGGTGAAACCGGGAAAGGTCAAGTGCCATGCCATTCCAAGAGTTCAGTTTTATTTAGCAGGCTTGAAAAAAATGATCTATTTCTATCTGTAACACGCTATTGTAAATTGTGGCAGCGTAGAGGATTACTTTACCAGCCTTCCAGTTATTTCTTGCTTTCTCCTTTTATCTCTGCTTCTTAATATGGTCACTAGTATCTGAAATTCCAAAGCAAAAAAAAAAAAAAAAAAAAAAAGAGAGAGAGAGAGTAGAAAGAATTTTTATTATCTCTGAATTCTGTATACACTAATCTCCAAACACACATATTATTATTCACAGGTTTCCATTTAAATGTGTTTAAAATCAGTTTAGGGCTATCCTAGAGACAAATTTAAAAACTCCTGGGGCATTATTACATAAGAAAATTTTTATAAATGCTGTCAAGATAAACACTTGTGCATATTTCAATTATAGATATAAATAAATATAATTATTAAATAATATATAATAAATGTAAATAAATATAAATATTAAACATGGTACATATTATAATCCAATACAAATATTGTATAGTATATATACAAATGTGCTATATATATGATATAAATGGATGAATTCTTCACTTTGTACAGGGAATAGAAAGATGGCAAATCATCTATGAGATTAGAATATGTAGAAAGCAATTTTATAACTGGAAGAAAAAGAAGCAAATCTCCTTTCAACATTTCTGTATATTATAAACTGCTGGAAAACCTTTGAATTTATATAGAAAGTCAGTGCTAAACCCCATATTTACCACAACACTAAACTATGGCAGACTGAAATAATCTCAAGAAGAACAAAGAAAAATGTTAACCTGAGAAAGGAAGTTTGTGGAAAAGAATCCCAAGTACTCGAATAACTGGTATATCTGGTGAAGAAACAACTGAAAAATATCCAAAACATATTGTCACTGATATAAAGGGATATCACAGGAAAATATTCTGAGATGTTAGTTTTAATGATGACATGAAAAGGAAAATGATTAAAATTATAGAGGCATGTGGGACACCTGAGTGTCTCAGTCTATTAAGCGACAGACTCTTGAGTGCATGGCTCAGGTCTTGATCACAGGGTCATGAGTTCAAACCCCACTGGGTGTGGGGCTCCCTTAAAATAATAATAATAATAATCATAAAGAGATGAATCTATGTATCTCTATGAGGCTAAATTTATTTCTATAATAAAATAATGTATTGGTTTTTAATTTTGACCAAACTTTATGCAAAAGAGATCCACTTACACATTGTTCAGTTATCATTTTCGTACTCTAGACAACCATTGTTCTTAATATTTTATATTTTGAAAATATAGAAGACAAGGATATATATGTCTGTGTGTGCATTTGCATGTATTTATAAACACACACACATGTGTTGTGCAATTTCATCACCTTAGTTGTACAGGACTCCAAACTTGGAATCATCATAACATCTCCCTTTCTCCCACACTTCAGTTCTAACCCATCAGAAATCAAGAACACAGTCTTGTCACCATCCTATGCTACCTTCAAAGCATCAATCTGAATTGTATTGCTTTTCTAAACTAGTCTCCCTGTGCCAACACTGGCCAATCTGGTATTTTAATACCTCAGCTAGAGTGATCAGAGTCTATGCTAAAGTGAATAATCTAATAATCTGCTCAGCACACTGCAGAGGCTTCCCATTTTATAGAATAAAAAAGCTAAAGTTCTTTGCAAAGGTCTGCAAAGTCTGCATCATCAGCACCTTGTTATATCTCTGATCTCATTCCTTAAACTCTCTAGAGTGAATATATATATATAACTTATATATTATATTATTTATATATAATATATATATTATATAGAGTGAATATATATATTTATTATTATAAATAAATAATCAGTAAATGTATCTTGAAGTTGTAGGCAGAATGGTGTGATGCTAATAGAATGCTCAGGTAAACTGTTGTCTTACACTAAAATGACATAAACGCTAACCTATATGTCTCTTCAAATATAGTTTCTGTTTTAAAAAAGGAATAGTCTCGGGCAGCCCGGGTGGCTCAGCGGTTTAGCGCTGCCTTCAGCCCAGGATGTGATCCTGGAGACCCCAGATCGAGTCCCATGTCCGGCTCACTCTGCCTGTGTCTCTGCCTCTCTCTTTCTGTGTGTCTCTCATGAGTAAATAAATAAAATCTTAAAAAAAAAAAAAAGGCAATAGTCTAAAGGACACAGGAACCAAACTGAAAGAGCTCCCGTTGCCAAAGCTGGAATATTTTAAATAAGAAAATAAATACTGATAGAAATGGATTCTAACTCGAAGAACAATATAAATATCCATGAGTCCATACTGTTAAGAATAAATGATTTTATAAATAATAAATAAATGAGATAAGGAATGAATTTTCTTTACACAGGAATCCCAAATAGTATATAAGTATACTCTCTTCCTGAGTGTGGTTTTCACATAGTGACACCCTTACAAAAAATAATGAATGGAAAGGAAGATGGACAATTTATGGAGGACTAAACTGGCAGGAAGACAGCATTTAAACCAAGAGGCCAAGTTGAATATCACCCTGAAAACTCATGTTGCTATTGTGTACCCACTGTATCATGAAATGAAGACAGGTAAAGACCTCTGCAGGATTTTTCCAAAATTCACTTCTTTAGTCTAACCATGAGAAAATATAAATTGAGAGACATACTTAATATTCTTCAAAACTGTCAAAATTTGAAAATAAGGAAAAAACTAAGAAACTGTGACAGATGAAAAGAGATTATATGATAACATGACTAAAAAAGATAATGGTGTCTAGATTGTTTCCTGGAACAGAAAAAGGAGTTAATGGAAAAACAGTGATAAGAGAAAAACATTTGTAGTTCAATTAATAGTATTGTGCCAGTGCTAATTTCTGAATTTTGATAAACATACCATGGTTATACATGATGTTAAAATTGGGAGAAGCCAGGTAAAAGGTACACAAAAAACCCCTCTGGATCTCCTTTTCGTTGTTTTTGTAGAACTCTTCCAAAATGCAAAGCATAAAAGAAACACACACTCATACCAACACATAAAATAAGGAATGGAGAAAGAGGAAAAAATGGATATGAAAGACAGTTTAAAGAGGAAAGAAACTCAGGTTTTCATCCGTGCCAATCATTCAAGTTAAAAATTGGAAAGAGAATAAATATCGCCTAAGGTATTATATTATTCCATACTGCATTTTGTATTTTTGAAGTAGTTTTTAAAAATAAAATGTTTGGGGATCCCTGGGTGGCTCAGTGGTTTAGTGCCTGCCTTTGGCCCAGGGCGCGATCCTGGAGTCTCGGGATTGAGTCCCACGTCGGGCTCCCTGCATGGAGCCTGCTTCTCCCTCCTCCTGTGTCTCTGCCTCTCTCTTTCTATCTCTATCATAAATAAATAAATAAATAAATAAATAAATAAATAAATAAATAAATAAATAAATAAATCTTTTAAAAAAATAGAATAAAATGTTTTATATTTGCCAAGGTGCCCTTTAAAAATATATTTTATTTATTTATTCATGAGAGACACAGAGAGAGAGGCAGAGACATAGGCAGAGGGAGAAGCAGGGTCCCTATGGGGTGCCTGATGCAAGACTTGATCCCAGTACCCTAGGATCATACCCTGAGCCAAAGGCAGACACTCAATCATTGAGCCATAAGGGTGTCCCTGCTAAGGTGTTCTTATAAGATTATTGCTAAATGGATCATAATGAAAATAAAACCCTTAATTAATATTTGTTTAATAGTAGACCTGGGATATGCCTTGGTAAAATAGATTGCAATTCAAAATATATTTTAAATACAAAAAGTTTACAAAAAGATGGAGTGTCAAATAGGAATCTTATTTCTAATTGCATTTATTTATAATAAAGTGTGAAGGAGGGTGGTTAAGATATTATTCTTTTTTTAAGATTTTTATTTATTGATTTGAGAAAGAGAGAGAGCAAGCACAAGGCAGTGGAGATGATCAAAGGAAGAAAGAGAAATAGATTCCTAGCTGAGCAGGAATCCTGATGCAGGGCTGGATCCCAGGACCCTGGATCATGACCTGAGCCTAAGGCAGACACTTAACCAACCACCACCTGGGGGGCCACCCAGGCACCCCAAGATATTATTGTTCTTTACTCTCATAATTTTCATTTATTTTTGACAGAAGTTATCCATTTCAGTTCACTTTCCATTTCTTCTGAGGTTATTTTAAATAATTAACAGATTTATTTTTAAAAGCAATTTTAGTTTACAGAAAAAAAATACATGATTGAATATACAGCATTGCCTTATACTCCCTTCCTCCCCTATGATCCAAACCTTCAATTAATATCTTGCATTAGTGTGGATTTTTTGTTAAAACTGAACTAATATTGACAGATATTTATTAATCAAAGTCCATAGTTTGTTTTAGACTTTAGTCTTTGTGTTTTATAGTTCTCTGAGTTTTGACAAATGTATAAAGTCATGTACCCACCTTGATGGTATCACACAGAATAGTTTCACTGACCTGAAAGTGTCCTGTGTTACAACTTCCCCACTGTTCCCCTAATCCAAACTCCTGACAATGAATGATCTATTTTCTGTCTTCAAAGTTTCACTTTTTCTTCTGTATTATTAGTTGAAATCATATAATATATAGTATTTTCAGAGGGTGCCTTTCATTTAGCAGTATGCTTTTAAGTTTCCCCCATGCTTTTTCATAATTTGAGATTTCTCTCTCTGTCATGCATATTGTGTGTGTAAATAATACCTTAGTGTAAGGATATACCACTGTTTGTATATTCACTCATTCATCGAAGAGTATCTTGGTTGCTATTATAAACATTCATGTTCAGGTTTTTGTGTGAATATAATTTTCAAATTATTAGGGTAATAGCTAGGAGTGTGATTGCTGGATTGGATGGTAAGCCTATTTAAGAAACTATCAGACTTCTTTTTTTTAAGATTTTATTTATTTATTCATAGACACACAGAGAGAGGCAGAGACACAGGCAGAGGGAGAAGCAGGCTCCATGCAGGGAGCCCGATGTAGGACTCGATCCCAGGTCTC